ATAGGATAAACATTCCCATTACAAAAGGGAGAAATAGGCAATAAGAAAGGAGTAACAGGCCCAAGGAAATCAGTTCAAACCTCACAAGGAAAATAACAGTAAGTCTTAAAGCTGAAGAATAATCTTTTTTGACTCCATATCCTGCATCAGGGGCACAGTGGGGTAGAAGTTGGGCTCTCAAGGCCTCAGGCAGCCTCAGGGTCCACTCAGCAGCTCTGAGTGGACCCTTAGTCCACTCAGCAGCTCTCATGGTTTGCAGTCTCATGCCTATGGCTTTCTCAGACTGGAATTACATGCTGGTGCACCCTATAGTTCTGTGGTCTCAGGGTAGGGAGGTGGAGGGTGATTACCCCACTCCCATGGCTTTACTAGGCATTGCCCTAGTGGGGACTCTGTGAATGATGGCCTCTGTCCTATGGCTCCACTAGGCATAGTAGAGGCTCTCTGTGGTAGGCTGTCTGTGGTGGCTCTGCCCCATGATAAGTCTCTGCCAGGGCCCCAGGCTATCCTCAACATCCTTTGAAATTTAGGCAGAAGCCACCATTGCTTCATATCTCTTGCATTCTGTGTGCTTGCAGAATTAGCACCATGTAGACACTGCCAAGATATATAGCTTATACCTTCTGGAGCAGTGGGTTGAGCTGCAGCTGGGCTCACTTGAGCTACAGCTGTGGTGGCTGAACAGTGCTATGCCAGAATTGAGGGAGCAGAGTTCCAAGGTGCTGCAGGGCAGCAAATGCTGAGGTATCACAAGCACCTCGCTGGAAACCTTGCCCTCAAGGTCCTAGCTTCCCTAGATCTCTGAAATGTTTTTGGAGTCATTTTCATTGTTTTCATGACTAGAACCTGGCTTCTTTCTATGCTAATATTTTTAGCAATCACTTGACCACACCCTTACTATTCTCTCCTGAACATATATTTATGTGGCCAGGCTGACAGTTTTCCTATTTTTTTATTCTGCTTCTTTTAAAATTATAAATGTCATCTTTAAAGTATTTCTCTCTTCTCTCATTTTACTCTGAGTCACTGAAAGAAGTTATGCAACATCTTGAATTCTTTGCTGCCTAGGTAGCTCTTCTGCCAGATATCCTAGTTCATTCCTCTAAAGTTCTGCCTTCCACAATATCCTAGGACATGGATACAGTTCTGCCAAGTTATTTGCAACTGTGTAACAAGGATGGCCTTTACTCCAGTTTCCAAGATTTTGATTTTCAGTTCCACCTGAGTCCTCATCAGAATGGCCTTTACTGTCCATATTTCTACCAATGTTCTGATCATGACCCCTTAAGTAGTCTTTACAGCATTCCAGACTTTTCTTACATTTCTTTCCTTTTTCTGAGCCATCACTAGAATTGCCCTTAATATTCTGTTCATGGCAATCTGGGTTTTTTTCTAACCTGCTCCTCCAAATCCTTCCAACCTCTACCCATTCCCATGACTCAATTCCTAAGCTGCTTCCACAGTTTCAGGTATTTATTTTGGCAACAACCCCAGTCTTGGTACCAATTTTCTATCTTAGTTTGTTTTGTGCTGCTATAACAGAATATCTGAGACTGAGTAATTTATAAAGGACAGAGATTTATTTCTTACAGTTCTGCAGGTGAGGAAGATCAAAGTCGAGTGGCTCACATCTGGCGAGGACCTTCCTGCTGTGTCATAACATGATGGAAGGGCAAGAGAGCATGCATGCATATGAGAGGAAGGGAGCTGAAATCATCCTTCTATCAGGAACCCACTCTCATGATAATAGCATTAATTCACTCACAGAGGCAGAGCCCTCGTGGCTTAACCATCTCTTAAAGATCCCACCTCTCAAGACTGTTGCATTGGGGATCAAGTTTCCAACACATGAACTTTGGGGGGCATATTCAAACCATAGCACAGGTATTGCCTCACTTAATTCTCACAACACACCCTGGGAGGTAGATGTTATCAGCATTTAAAAGATGAGAACAGCTATTGTTTACAGGAGTTAGGTAACTCTTGGGAAGGTTATGTGGTTAGTGATTGAACTATACTTTTAAACCAAGCATCTTTTAAGTATCATGAAGAAAAGTAGAGATCAAAAAGGTGAGAAGAAAATTATGATAGACAATATCAAAACCAGAGAAGTAGAGTTTCAAGAAGGAAGGTAAGTCGTGTTGCTATAATGGAATACCTGAGGCTGGGTAATTTACAAAGAAACGAGTTTATTTGGGTCACAATTCCAGTGACTGGAAAGTCTAAGAGTATGGCATTGGCATCTACTCAGCCTCTGGTCAGGGCTTTCATCATGCATCATAACATGGAGGACAGTCAAGGAGGAAATAGACATATGCAGAGAGCAAAATGAGGGGCATCCTCACTTTATAACAACCTGTTCTTGTGTGGGAACTAGTCCCTTTCTGTGTAAACTAATCCAGTTTTATTAAGGGGTTAACTCACTCATCTCAGTAGGAATGGCACTAAGCTGCCTGTGAGAGTGGAGCCTCTGTGACCCAAATGTTTTTCCACTAGACCCCACCTATTAAATGTTTTATCTCCCAATATTGCCACACTAGGAATTAAAGTTTCAACATGAGTTTTGGTGGGGACAGGCAAACCACAGCAGAAGGGATGGTTAGCAGCATTAAATTTTGAGGTGAGATT